AATTAGCCTGGCCTTGTAGATTCCAGTGCACAGGAACCAAAAGCAGGCCATGTGGTTACAGACTCAAGAGGCTTCAACGAAAACAAATCAGCTGAGTCTATGTTCCAACCAAATCCAGTGACCGTGAAATCCAATTTCTTCTCAGCCCTTCGAGTGGGACATGCTGCTGAGTGGTCACTCAGATCACACACCTTTAGTAGTACTGCATAGCATGAATCATGACAAGCCTAATCAACTATCTGATCACTGAAAAAACACAACCACTATTAAAAAAAAAAATAGCCACAGGCAGACAAAATGTCAACGTTTGACATAAAACCACACTAGAAAAATAAAAACCATAAAGGCTCTTTGGAACAGACTTCTAACTCTTCTTATCATCCAGTATGGTAGCCTCCAAATTTTAAATTTTAATTCGTGTAAACTGAAATAGCCACAGATATGAAACAATTCCATCACTGCAAAATAACTTACTGCAGTACTCTAAGTCCTACCTCAGAACCATGAACAAGTTAACTGACGGTTTCGTGTTCTCAACATCTACGTGTAGTGACATCTCTCGGGGTCATGTACACCAAGGTAAGTTTTACTGCCGACTTCAGGGATCATCACAGACTTTGCCCTTTACTTTCCCTAAAGCTTTCTAAACTCAAAAACAAACATCACCTGCACTTAAGTGATGCAACATGTATGCCTCAGAGAGCTCCATGATCTAAAAAATGATTTACTGCCGGGCTCGGTGGCTCAGCCTGTAATCCCGTGCCTTTGGGAGGCTGAGGTGAGTGGACTGCCTGAGCCCACGGGTTCGAGACCCACCTGGGCAGCAAGACCCTAATTCCAGCTACTCGGAAGGCTGAGGCAGAAGGATCGCCGGAGCCCAGCAGGTTGAGGCTGAGGTGGCCGGGAGCGGCCACTGAACTCCAGTCTGGGCGACAGAGTGAGACTCCAACTCAAAAAAAAAAAAAAATGATTAACTTCTCCACTTGGGAACCGAAGGACCCAGGTGCCCTAAATAAAACACTATGAAAAACAATTACAATTCAGAAAACAGTAAGAACACCATGACCTCTAGAGAGCTCAGTTCATAAGAACATAAGGCCTTTTCTTCCTTTTCACCAAAACCTCAGCTAATCAACATGAAGAGACCCTCAACAGGTATTCCCTGAAGAGAACACTTTGTAAAAAAAAAAAAATAAAGCTATGGTTATTTGGATGACACATTCTTGTTTTGAGAGAATAAGATACACTGAAAAGCCAAAACCCTTAATTCAATACAACCTCATTTGTTACTGCTGTTTTCTGAGACAGGGTGACAGAAACCTCTCCCAATTTCATCCTTTCTGAGAGCTCACTACTTTCTCATATCATTTTCTTGAGGAAGGTAGTAGAAGGAGCCAATCAAACAAATTCCTAATTTAAAGCAGCTTTGAAGTATACTCCCAAGCCTCTGGTCCAGGCCAAATGCAGCATTTCCACACTGCTTTGGAAATCCAGCTTAACTCTAACCTAGGGTTCTCGAAAACCCAAATGTCAGCACCACTGACATTTGGAGCCAGATAATTCTTCGCTGTGGGGCTGTCCTGGGCACTGCAGAATGTTTAGCAATACCCTGGCCTCTCCAAACTAGATGTAACAGCTGCCCCCAGCTATGACAGCCACAAATGTTTCCAGGTATTGCCAATGTCCCTGGGGATGCAAAATCACTCCTGGTTGAGAATCACTGCTACAAGCCAAGGAACATCCCTGGGTATCACACCCAAATTCTCACTCACGAGATGCTCCTGCTGACTTCAGTGTTGATACTTTCCTTCACCATCCAGTCCAGCAAAAACGTATAAAACCTCTGAGACACAACATCAAGGGCTCTAGCTCAACAGGCAAGACAAATTCCGTTCCTACTGTCAAGCATGTTTTTAGGGGGCAAGTACATAAAGAGCTAAATAAAAGACACCCAATTTCAATGTTTTGAATTGCTAAACTTTTTTCTCCTGAGATGGAAGTTCTCATTGCACCAAACTGAGAACACCTTGAGGACAAAGGCCATGACCTGTCCTCAAGTACCAACTTGCTTAACCGCCAATAAAAACAATTATAAACTTAATTATAACAACGCGACAATTTCATATAGACAGTAAAAACTTGAGCTAACTCGGACAAGTAAGTTAACCTCTCTCAGCTGTAGCTTGTTCCTCTGTAAAATGGGAAGAAAATGACTGCTGACAGGATAGAATCAGAAAATACAAGTAACTCCTTCTCCACATCCTGGTACAGAGTAAGCATTCGATAAGCATAGGTCATAATTACTATTTTATTAGCAACAACCCCTATCTCGAGGAAAAGCTTACTCTGGGCTGCAAAAACAAATTCCAACATGACATCAAAGTAATCAACTGTCACCCTACCTTCTAGGAGCAAGAAGGGAAGTAACCCTGCGCATTTCTACCAACGTCCTGGGAGAAAGACACGAATGAAGGAAGCAATGAGATGTCAGGGGGAAAAAATTCCACACTCAGAGACAAATCTTCTACACATTCCTGGAATACACTTACAACCTTTCCCTCTACAATGCTCAGTGTGTTTGCCATAAATACACGGGAACCTAAAGGGGAAAGGTACACTAAATGTGTACACACTGGCACACATAGCGGACAGGCTTTATGAAAGTATACACCTTTCTGGGTGTTAATTTGCTGAAGCTTTTAGAAATTATGTTTAGAATTGCTATTGCTATAACGTTAAGTATATACCAGCAATTTTGAATTTAATACAAAGCAAGAAGGAGTTTGTAAGAAAAAAGGCAAAAGTTGTCAGATGTTTTAAAGACAACATGAAGTCACAGGAAAGAGCTGGGTGACCCATGTGTGTGTGTTTGAGTGAAGCAGCATCAGGAGAAGAGATAGAAGACAGGAAGAGGCACCCTGCTGGAAGAGCAGCGGCCAGGAACACCCGCCTTTGGCAGCACACGCCGTGCAGGTGAGCAAAAGGAGACCTTAAAGGATAGGGCACACTAATGTGTACGTGGGCTACATTCCAAGTGCCTGAGACACGGTGGCTGAAGGACTCCTCCCAACAATCCAGGGAGACTGATATGCTCACTAGGTGAGGCAACTGAGGATTCAGCCTCCAATCCAGGCACCTGGCTGCACCGGGGTGCCTCAACCTCTTATGCTTTAAGGATCGATTTTAATTTCAGTCCTAGGAAATTTTTTTTTTTTTCTGTTTTGAATCAGAGTCTCACTCTGTTGCCAGGCTGGAGTGCAGTGACATGCTTACGGTCATCGCAGCCTCGACCTGCTGGGCTCCGGCGATCCTTCCGCCTCAGCCTTCCAAGTAGCTGGAACTACAGGCGCGCGCTACCACACCCGGCTTACGTTTTGATTTATTGTAGAGACAAGGTCTCGCCAAGTTGCCCAGGTTGGCCTCGAACCCCTGAGCTCAGGCAATCCTCTCGCCTCGGCCTCCCAGAGTGCTGGGATTACAGACTTGAGTCACCGCGCCCGGTCAGGAAATTAATTTCTAGTTGCTCCTGAATGAGACCAGTCCTCTACCCTGCTGTATTTCAAGAGCGTCCTTTTAGCCGCATCGTGTGTGATCACAAGGAGACTGAAAGACACGAGTGGGACAGACGAACTCCTCTGTCTCCAGGAATAACCCACACAGGGGGGGGGGGGTGAGTGGTGTAGAAAGGGAGCATCGTCCCGAACAAGAGGACGAGGGCCTCGGAGAATGCGGGAGGTCGCCCCGATCCCTAACGCCTGCCTTGGCTTTGGCTACTATGTTCAGGGGAAAGACCCCAGAGCCTACGTACTCCCACCCTGCTGCTCGTTTCTCCCCCTGGAAGCGAGGGGGAGGTTGGGGCGCGAGAGGGGGGACGGCGTGAAGGAAGGCTGGGGCGAAGGGTGTCACGCAGACGGAGGTGAGGCTGCCGGCCCGGATGGCGGCAGAGAGGCGCGCGGGAAGGCGGGGGGCCGGGTGGGGAGCCAGCGAGGCCCCCGGGGTTCGGGTCGGCAGCGTCGACAGGATCGGCAGGCGGAGACGGAATCTGAACCCGAGTCGAAGCTGCAGAGGCTCCAGGGGCAGAGTAAACCCGTCCCTCGCCCCTGGTCAGAGGAAGGAA